TTTCCTTGAAAACATCTAAGAGGGTTTAGATTTTTAAGATTTTGATATGGCTATTGTCTAAATTTGTTGTTTGTTCTTTGTGCAGAACTTGGGATCCTTATTTCTCAAAGTTATCGGCTGTAGAGAGCTTTGTGGATTTGACATGGTAAATGTTAGTTATCCTAAATGAAACTATGATAATCTGAAACACTCCGTATGATCGCTTTATTTAGGAAAGGTTGTAAAATCCATTTTAATACATTTGACGTATTTGGAATGGTTGAGCATATATAAACATCAATTTAAATTATTGATTGGTTGTGTTATATGCATATCACTAACTTACAGATTGGTGTACATAGACATTATGTAGTGAGATATAAGAAAAATGCTAGATGACCCGCATGGATGACTGCGTCCTCACAGCTGAGGCGCGGGTCCCACCCGAATAAAATAATCCCAACCCCCCATGTGAGTGTGCGCGGTCAACCCCGAGGTCATCCACGCGGTTCGTCTAGCATGGTCCAAANCCCAACCCCCCATGTGTGTGTGCGGACACTGGCGCGGTCATCCCCGCGGTTTCTGTAGCAGAGCTCGAGATATAATTGGATAAAAATTTCTTCAATCAAATAAGAAAAAGAAAAAGAACTTTCTTTTATCGAAGATTTTTGCATATTGGTAATTTATGATCAACTTTCTTTCATAATAATCCAGGAGAATTCGAATCCTCGGATGTTTTGAACTACTGATCTTATATTGACGTTTATTTGTTCGTCAAATAAATATATTCACGTAATAATGATGTATTATGCACTAATGGAGCAGTTTAGAATTGAATCGGGTTTAACGACTAATTTAGGCTACAAGTATATTGATTTTACTGACTTTACAGAGTTGACTATTTTTACTGACTTTGTATTTTAAATCGGAAAAGAAATTACATCAGGATATACCGATTCGATCCGAGCTCTCCTAGCCTTTCCATAATTGGGCAATACATCCATCTACGATAAATCCGCAATTCATGCTCCAATCTTTCTCAAAAACCTAAATTCTCCCAACTTCAATCCATCTCCGAAACCTAAATTTCTAAAGCATTGACCGTTCTTTATATGTAACCATTCGATTCATCTCTATAGTCCTTGTAATCCATAATATACTAAATATCATATTAAGTGAAAATCATATTTTGGACGATTTTAACCTTGATACAATTCAATTATTTCAATATTGCTTTACTTTCCATTTTTCAATATGCAATAAATACTACAAAATCAATTTCGTGCTATTCATTTTTAATTAATTAACATTTCCGTTAATCTAGACTTAATAAATTTTGATTTGATAAATTTTGATCTGCATGAATCTAGAGTTATTATAGATGAATTTATTTTTATTCACGTGTCTATGAATTTAAATGAGTGTTTAAATTCATGTATTAACAATTAATTCTTATGTCGTATAAAAATGTTGCTTATTTGTAGTATTTCACCATCATAAAAAATTTGAGTTTTGAGAATACAATTTTCTTCTCTTAAATTCATATTCTAAATTTTAATTTTTTTAGTTTATTTGAGATTCATCAAATCCTCCAAATAAATTGTTATCAAATATTTTTTTTACAACACTTATAAACTATTTTTAAGAATAACGTGCAATGTACGTTCTACTTTGACTAGTGGTTATCAAATGAGCTTAAAATTGGAAAGAGATTTCAACCTAATTGTACTATATGTACATGATGATTTACATAAATATGGCGTGGAGAGATATGAACGGGTTAAAATTTCTTTAACCAAAAAAATTAAAAAAATCCCTACTCATTTTTTGACACTTCA